TGTGTTTTGTATCTCGGCGGAGACAGAATTGTGAATGATTTTTATTTTTTTTTTTTTGAAACAAAATCTTTGCATATGTGAGAATAGCTGGCGAGAGTCCGTGAAGACGATGGAGGCGTGCGAGGGTGCGAGCTGTAATGCGCAGATAAGGAGGCAACACGAGCTGTCATTGTATCGTGATCAGATTACGTCGAGATGATGGCTTCATCTTGAAGGCCCGTTTTATCAACGCCGGGTATTTGCAGGGTAGCATGACCAACAGCTCCTGATGCGTTTGTGTGTTTGTGTGTTTGTGTGTTTGTTGGGGGGGGGGGTGATACCTGGTACGCCTCTCCTCAAGGATGAATGCACAGAATGACAATACAAATCCATTTTGACGTAGATTAATGGCGTACGCCTTCCTGTAGCCCCCCCCTTCCATACACCCCCCCCCCACCATCTGAAAAGCCTCTCAATAATAACAATCTACTTGAGCATCCTTCTTCCGGCATCCTCCACCTCCACCTCCTGCACTCGCGGCTCTTCACGGTGTCTCGCCGCATGCGGAAGCTCGAACAAAAGTGCTTTTGCTCGGTGATTTTGATTTTTTCGGGCTCTTCTTTTTGCGGCGCTCTGTCCTCTCTTTGAAGTGGCGGAATAATAAGCGTACCTTTTTTTTTTTCCTGTGTGTGTTCTGAGGGTGTTACTCAGGATGTCTGCATTTATGCATGCGGTGCGCCGGGCCCCGAGGAGACGGAGGCTAAACTTAAACTGGATGTAGTCTGGACTGCATTATTCATGATATCGATACCGTGTTTATTTGCGGTTCTTGTGACGCTTTGTGAAGTATGCTTTTGTCTCGGCGATGGGTGAGTAAAGAACATAACGAGATGCACATCGAAACAATCACACGATCCAAAACTCCAAGAGGACGTCCCCTGTGCCGTAATTGCTCAAATTCATCCCAAACGTGTGTTATTGCGGATGCTTCGACGTGTTGTCGGATGAACTCGACTGACCCCAACAGCGCACCGAGCGGGTTGAATTAATGATACATCTTGACTGTCTTAAAATCTTCGAGGAGGAGCTAAATTTAGCCTGGCTTGCTAGCAGAAGTTAGTTCTTGATGATTACATGCACTTTTTTTTTTTTTTTCTCTCAAATCCAACCACGAAAGCTCCGTCGCCGTGCCTATCTTTCCTGGAGCGAAGCGTGACTTAACTCACTCTTGGCTTTTACTTCCTGTGAGTGAGTGGTGCGCTCGCTGGAAGGAAACAGCTGTCTTGCCGCATAGCCGACCCGGGTTCTGAAGGGCTAATGGAGTAACGAGACGGAGGAGGAGGAGGAGAAGGGGGGAAGAAGAGCACTGTAGCGCCTGGGGAGCTGCGACAGCCTGACACTGAAAATGTATGACAAACACACACACACCTGGATCACACTGCGAAGGTTATTTCAAGAGCCTCGAGGCGTTTGTATTGTGCTTTTTCAAAAAGCTGGAGTGCCCCCCCTACTGTCTTATTAGATTGTGAATTTATGGATTTTTCTTTTTTTGGGGGGGGGCGCAAACACATTGTTTTATCTATTTGGCATTGTGTTTGTAATTTTTATGAGGGAGGGGGGGCTGATCACATGCGAAACTGTCCACTGTAGTGACCGCTGTCTCCAAAAGGGTTCAAACATCATTCACGCTTCCAAAATGGAGCAAGGTACCTTTCATTTCCTTTTCTGTTCATTTTTCTCATCTTATTCTGGATGTATAATATTGACGTTTTTTTTTCTTCTTCTTGTCTCCCTTTTGCAACATGATACAGTACCGCTCTCCCTCCCTGTCAACGATCCTTTCCATCATTGGCGTCTTTCTCTCCTGTTTCCCTGCCTCCCCCCCCCCTCCCCCTCGCTCCCGCATCCCGTCCCCACCTCCGCTCACATAAACCAAATGTCATCTCGACCATGTGCAGAGCACTTACTCAAAACACAATAGCCTGTCACGCCTCCCCATTTGGGGCGCCAAATCCACGCCGCAGACATAAAATTACAGCGGCAGTGCCACGGCGGCGACGCGGGTAAATAGCCGCGCGGACGGACGCTCCACCGCGCAGAGCACATCCTGTCTTGCCCCCGCTCGCCGAGCGGCATTTAGTCACTTTATCAAATGTCGCCGCTGAAAAGGTCAACCTTCACACAGGCGCGTGCTCGAGATAAAACAATGCTCCGCCTCCTCTCATCGCCCGCGGTGATGACTCTGTGCTATCTTGGCCTCCCATGCTTTTAAAAACTCACCTTTGTCCTCATGGTCCATCATGTGTGTGTGTGTGTGTGTGTGTGGGGGGGGGGGTTGTTGCAAAAAAACATTGGCAAAGTTTAGAGAGCTACAAAGAAATGCTTCAATCTCTTCTCCCCGCTGTTTTTGAGTCGGTACCATATCTGTACTGAACTCTATCTGCAGATAGATTTCTCCACATGCTGCACTTTCACTCACCTTTCAAATTCTCACACCGTGGTGTGTTTGCTGTTAGACCATCAAATTCACCCCCCACCCCCAACCCCCTCTCACCGGCTGCTCTGGGGCCCCCTCGGACCTTGGTAGCGGAGCCAAGAAAATGTCTGTCCAACCAGTGTAAACTATGTGTTTACTGTGCCCCCCAAGGGGGGGGGGGGGGTCAGCCAGGGCACGTTGGGCCCAGTATGTCTCACCTGCTGTCATTGATCACAGCTCTGACTTCAGGATGGACAAGCTGTTTATTGTAATACAGATTAATTTATTGCTTGCGGTGGTGAAGGGGGAAAAAAAAAAAATCCATGGGACCTTGAAAGCCTTTCGATTCATTTCAGTGGGGAACAATTAATTGATAAGCGATTCAAAGTGCTTGATCAAAGAACAAATTAAACTTGTAAGTCATTATATGACTATGCCACTATATGAAAGCAGAGTGAGTTCGTACTGAGAAAAGGGAAGCTGTCTTCCTCTCGGTTTCCCCCCCAGCTTTGTGGCATACTCAAACATTTATGGAGCTGGGACTTTACGATGTGGTCATGCATTTATGTATATTTCCGCACGATCAAAACATGCATGAACATAGGCACGGCTCTTTTAGAATTTGCACTCGTCCCCGCCGCCCGCCCCATTCTTGTCCAGAAATAACATTTTCCCTCATATTCTTGCCTCGGCTCTCCTTTGGAAGTGTTTGGGTCGCGGGGTGTTGAGGCACGCTCCAAATAACCGTGTTGATTAAAACGAACGTGGCTCAGCAGCCACAGTTTATCCGGCTCGTCTTCTTAATGTTTCTCAAGCTGCTTTTTGATCCATCCCCCACAACGTCTCATTGCAATGCTTTTCTCCCAGTGACATTGGAGGCGCGAATAAAGCAGCGAGTACTGTTGTGGACATGGGAAATCGCTCTTTAAAGCCGTAGGTGACCATGGCGCGCATCAATCAGTTGAGGATGGATATTTCCTATGTACATAACGAAAGAAAGTTCCAAATTCTGGGCAGTCTTGACGTTATTTTTGTTTTTCTTTCACGACATTGCTCTCATAGTCCTGCTTTGGTTGCCTTTGACACGCAATGAGTCCGACACAACGCAAAGCTGTCAAGCCTATAGACCTCAATATTGTGCACTAAAATAATATTGTCCATCTGTGGACGCTGCCCTCACTATCCATCGGTGTCATTTTTTTTTTTCTCCAACGTGGAGTGAAGCAATCCAGAAAGAAGAGGGAATGTGAGCTGATCAAAAGATGCTGTTTGGTCAACTTATTGGAATGAGGGGGGAAGAGCAAAGGGGCGGCGGCAATTTGTTTTCAATTGAGTATGAAATTGCCTACACGCTGGACTGTTCTCCAGCAAAATGACTATTGAATAATAAGTATTGCACGTTTCAGTCCTTCATTGAACATCACAAGAGCACTAATGCACATACTAATGCCGTGAGCTGTCAGCCGCAGCTAACCCACCAGGGCCCACCTCTTACCTCATTCACTGCCATTGATGACGATAGACGTCACACATCCATTTTCACTTCAATGTGATTCCATTTTATTTTTTGCACTTGAACCCAAAGACCTCTGCCTAGCAACAAGTGACCAGGATAAAACAAACTGAAGATATTAAAACGGATTCTTGTCTCGAAGGTTCATGCGGTCAGCTAAATAATCGCAAGGGCGCGATGCCTGAGCGATTGTGTGTTGAGGAGGAGAAAATGGAGAGTAGAAATTGAGGCTCGTCCAAGGGATGACTGTGCTTCTGGGCACCGCGTTGGGATAGTTAATGACTGGTATGTATGTCAGTTACACAGCTGTGGAGGGAGCGAGCCAGCCAGCTGAAGAGTGGAGAAGAAAGAAAGAAGAGACAAGGAGAGAGCTAGATGCAGTGGGAGGGTGGGTGGAGGGGGGGGGAGATGCGGACCGATACAAGGCATGAAGTGGAGTCAGCAGAGAGTGAATGAAGACGCGACGGAGGAAGAAGGAACGGCGAGAAGATGCCAAGATATTTCCCAGCCTTCTCATCTTCCTCCAGCAAGTTAAAGAAGGAATGGCAGAGGTTGTCAGTCTTTGAAATTGTTGCTTCTGTGCAAAAAAAAAAAAAAAAAGACAGTAAAAGTAGAGCTCATAAAGGGGGGGGGACTCAAATACCATGCTGTCTTGTTTGATTTTTACACATCTGTCCTGCGCCGTTCTGGCTGCTGTTCCATCTGCGCTGGCTTTTCAAGTCTTAAAGGGGGGAGGAAGGGGGGGGGGCTCTTGCATTTCTTGTAAGAGCTTTAAAATCCGCCGAATGTGTTGCAGGATGCAATTTTTCCGCCGGATCACAGTCGGGCCTAAAGAAATACACAGCGCGAACAGGAATGGACGCTTCAGGAGGGGTGGGT